TTTTTGTTTGGATATTTTGTAATGATAAAACTTCTATACAAAAATAAAACCAATTTTGAAATAGCTCTAAATTGTATCATTTAAACTTAAGAAATTTGATCAATGGTTATTAATTAGAATAATGAGTTTGCTTTGAGGTAAATTGATCTTGAATATAACTTGATATATATATATAATATGAATAAGATAACCAATATGATTCCATCTCAATAAATTTATTTACATATTGACAAAATGTTATTTTTTTGAAAAGAGGTTATGTTAATTGTTTGAATTTAAACAATTTATTGAATACCAAATAAAACAATTTAGATTAATTAATCAATTACCCTTTTTTGAAAGATTAAGTGATTCTAGAAATATTTCTTTTTCATCCAATTTATTTAGTTCTATTTTAATTTGTTTCAATTAATAAATTGAAAATTAAAAAGCAAGAAAGCAAATCTAAAATTTTACTAATTAGTAATATATTTCGAGAAGGATTTAATAATTAAAGGTTGAATAAAGGTAAAATTAAAAAATGATTACAATTACAAAGGAAAATATGAAATGTAAATTTAATATTCAAATTACAATTTAGAAGGGAACTTTTCTATTTTAACCCCCATCATATTCTAACTAATTTTATCTATAATAAAAAAAAATTTTGCTCTTTAGAATTAACTCTCATATTATTAAGCTCAATTCTTCTACTTAAGATAATTTTTATATACAAAATTGAAACTCCTGATGGAAACATTAGTATCTAGATTATTATAATTAGATTTATAGAAATCTTCTTATGATAAATTAGTAAATAATATCCATCGTCTCTAATTTGAAAAGAGAGAAACTCTTATGATTTATAAATGATGACGGTTTCCAGCCATAACATAAAAATATATTTTAAGGATTGATTACAATTATCAGCTTAAATTACAAATTCACTCTACTCAATAACCTAATGAAATAGTCTTTAATAATATTTATCAGATTTATAACATTATTTACTTTATTCATAAGATTTTCTCGGCTCTATTTGATTATTTGTTTTAGATGATTAAAATCAATAATTTTAATATTAAAAACCCTCATAATTATTTAGCCTTCACTAATCAGTAACCTAATATATTAAATTGATTCTTTGTTTTTCTTAATGTCAAAGATGTAACTCTTTCTTAGGTATATTTTAGTTTTTGGAAATATATAAAATATAGCCTTTTAAGAGAAACTACGTTCAATATATAATATCAATTTCAAAGGGAGATTTTAATTAACAGAGTCTTCTTCTTACTATATTACCTTAATAATGATGCTAGACTCCCCACGTTTACATTTTATTAATTCCTTTCAACTATTCCAAAATTTGTCTTCATTAGAGAGCCTTCCTTTGGTTATTTGAAAAGTTCAACCTGAATATAAAATTAAATGGAATAGTATTTGACTAGGATAATTTTAAATAATTTTATTTAGATATCATGATTTGATTTTCTTATAGAGTGAAAATATATGGTGAACACTTAAATATGTAGATATTTCATGATTTTAAGACAGATTTCTAAATTTTCATTAATTTATCCAATTGAATTTGAATCCTTTTAATAATCAAATTCATTCTAATATATAAACTTAATAATTCTTAAATATATATATTAATTTTCTTTTAAATTATTCATCATGGTATATTATGCAATAATTTTATTTTAGATTAATTAAAAACACCCAAACATGGATACAATTCTTATGACGTATCTATATCTAACTACTAATAATCGATATTAAATTTACAACAAACATTAATTATGGATTAATCGATTTACTCCATTTAATATATTTATGTTCGATGCATACTTCAACTATTATGACATCATTAGTTGTAAAAGCAAATGATTGTTTTTTATGATGTAGATCCTCATTATGATGTGAAAAAATGCAACCATCATTGAGGATTAAATAAGTTCTATTATAATATCTTAGAATACCCAAACCCGGTATAATAACAACTCTTATAATTATTTCTCTACATAATCTCTCTAAATCCAATTCCAACCATAAAACCTTATCCACTAATGATTTAGAATGCAAATTATATCTTTCCAGTTTTTGGAATTGCTTATTCACAAAGACAATAATACCAATAACCATCATTAACTACTTCTGCCACAATTTTTGCATCTTCGCTTACCTAACAATTAGCACTCTTATAATTATTAGAAAATGATAATGATTTTTTAAATTATTAAATCTAAAATTAATAGAATAAATATACTTTTTCTATTTCCATTTTACTGTATTTTTCTTATTCTGATTTAACTTAATTGATTTAATCAAGTTTCATTAATGCTTCTTGTAATTCTGAATTTTTTTAAGTTAAATCTTTAATTAATTCGAATTTTACTTTATTTTCTATTAATTAATAAACAAACCTTTACATTCATCTTCAAATTTCTCCATCATTTTTGTTTTATCTTATTCATATTACTTTTTCATTTTGATATTATCTTTAACAGCGTTTTTTAATTATTCTTTCATCTTTTTATATTTTTATTCTTTTTTTTTTATATTTGTCTCATTTAATTTATACTTAAATTACTTTTACATAGAACTAATTAAATTATCTTCTATTTATAATTTAATATCTTTACTTTCAACTTCCAAATTACTATTAGTTTCTCTTAACTTTACTATATCACTCTCCAATTATTTAATCATACAATATTTTTTCATTTGTATCGTATTATTATCATAAGTATTCGCATATTCATTCAATATATTTGATAATTTAGAATATTAGGATTTTAATTATTCTGATTTCACCGCTTAATCTTATGTTTTAATTAATATATTTTATTTAATGTATTCAATTTTCTAAAAATGTTGTTAATAAATCAGAATAGTCTAATCAAATAGATTCTATTGACACTGATGTTTTTTTGCTAAATCAATCAAATCTTAAATTTCTTTGATAAAATTAATTTGGTTTATATAGTTTTCATCCTCTTATGCACATTGTTAAATATCTTAGCATTTATCAGTTAATTACATAATTAAATCTTTTTCAACTATAAAAATTAATAAAGATGATACTTGAAACTTCTTTCAATATTTCCAAAGATTATTAAATATCTTATTAATTATATTAATGCAAAGATTCTAACTGATATTAAAGGTCTTTTTTGAAAATCTAATCTTTATTTTTTAAGTTTGTAATTATTTGACTTTATGTAACTTTTTCTTTTTTAATTAATTACCTTAAATCCTTCAACAATTATTCATCATCTAATGTTTTAATTGAAATATTTTGAATTTGATTTGTTTGTTTCGTCTTGTTAATGCTTAAAAATTATTCATCAATCAAATTTTCACTTATTTCATTCAATTTTTTATTGTAATTCCTTCTCATTTGTCCTAATTAGTTTAATAATTCACTTTTTTTTCCTTTGCTTTCCTTATTATATTCTGTTATTATCTTTTCAATATCTGTATTGTATTCCTTCCATTATTTATCTATATTTTCAATAGTTTGATATTAAATCTATGGATTTTCATATATACAATCCACACATGCAAATCTATCTTCTATTTTTTATTTTTATGAATCTATATCAATCATAATTATTTCCTTTTTATGATAACTACAAATTCTACTTAAACTTGGTGTTTTCTATTAATAATAATTATTATATACAGAATCATTCTTGGTTATATTTGAAGGAACTAATTCAATTACATTATTGTCTATTATATCTTTAATTATTTCTTTTGTATTCTTAAATGTGTCGACTGTCTAAAAGTATTCAGAACTAATGAATAAAAGTTCAAATTATATTTATATTTCATTGATAAAATGGTTATCCTATATCAATTTAGGCGATTACTATTATTCTTAAGAATACAACTTAGATAACTATGTTATATCTTCAAAATAACTTAATTATGATTCAAATTCTTATAATTCTTATTTTTCTTTTTAAATCGGAAATACATATTATTATATTTATTTACACATCTTTTCCAAAGAATCATTTATTGATTATTTGAAATCCATAATTTGATATAAAATATTTTTATAATAATTGAGTCTTGCTAAATTCTCTTTTGTTTTGATGTCTTTTTATTATGCTTTTAACTATAAGATTCTCTCTTTAGATTACTCTATAGTAGTCACCTTATAATTATTAAATTTCTCGACTAAACATTTACCACAAAGGAATTAAATCTATGCCTTATC